AGTAACTATAACCTTACTTTTTCTGCTTATTACATAATTCAACGCACGGAATAATTAAAAAATTATGTGTTTGATGAAAAAATAGGTGAATAGGTGATAAACCTGATAAGTCTGAAAAAAATTGGATCACCAAACGGCTCATAAATTTATACTCGTAATCCGAGGTAGACAGCTAATTTTTGAAGTAAATGAGTAAATTTTATACTGTGTGCAGTAGTCGTACTGCGGTACACTATTCTTTCGTACGCTTCATTTCCTTGCGGTCTTTTCCAAGCTTCAATGCGAGGAAGCCAAAAGATAAAAGAAGAGCAGCTTTATATTGCTTTGAAGCACACTTGATGGTACGAATACATTTTATGCAGAAAACATACGGAGTGTGTATAAATATGTCTGAAGCGTGGAAGGGGGAATATGTCTTCTTCATCATGAAAAATTAAAGAGCTCCCCAATGTTATTTGCTCCATATCCTCGAAGAACATGGTACTCTGGTTGCTCGAGTAAGATGCACTCACTCTACATATATAAATGCATTTTGGGACTTTGGAGAGTATTTGCGATTGTTTCTACTTAAAAAAATGATTTTTTAAAGTGATTTGAGAAAAACGTTCAATAGTACGTAGTAAAAATTAGTACTCCCTCCGTCCCGTAATTAAGTTCCTACTTTCCTTTTTGGGATGATCCATATTAAAGTTCATACTTCAAACCTTTCCTTATTTGACAAATGATTTACACCAAAACAGTGTCAAACAGTGCACTTACGTATCATCCAAACAGTAACTGCACTTATGTGCACAATAGTTGTCTATGTAAGTGCACTTACTGTTTGGATGATACGTAAGTGCACTGTTTGGCAGGACGTAGCACTGATAAACAATAGTTGTGTATGTAATTAATTTAATCTTCTCTATTGTCCGCGTCTCTGCCCTTATGTGTTCCAATTTTAGTTACTTTGCTACATCCTCTTTAAATTCTTCATTCTATTTTTTTGTCTGTCAATTGTAATCAAATCACAAGTAAATTAATCACGTTGAAGACATTTCCCCAATGTTTGCATGCCTACAAACAATTACAAATTTTGTTCCTGCAAACAATAAAAAATGTTCACAGAGAAGATCAAATTAATTACATAGACAACTATTGTTTATTGGGAAAAGGTGCAAATTGGCCCATGTACTAATAACAAAGGTCAAATAAGCTCTTGTTTATGGGGCTTTGTCCGGCCGTCGCCATTTGGAGTGGTTCCCGGTGGAATTTTTTGGTGAATTTTTTTGAGCATCTTATTCATTAAGTCTAGTTTACTCATACCAAATTTCAGCTAAAACTTCAATCGGGAAGGCATTCAAATGAATTCTTGAAAATAACTGAGCAGTTATCTTCAGGAGAATTAATCCCGTGCACAAAGAATTATAGTATGCGCACACATTACATTTTACATTAGATTTGGCATGTGTGCCCGTGTCTATTGATACAAAGAATAGGTATATACTACCTCCGGTTTTTTTAATCTTCACAGTTTGACTTCACACAAAATAAGGAAAGAAATTTGACTTTACTGTAGAGTACACTGTTGAGGCACTGTTTGACACTGTTTGGCACTGTAGAGACACTGTTTGGCACTGTTGAGACGCTGTTTGGCACTGTTTGACACTGTTTTGTAGTAGATTTCTTTGCCAAAAAAGGAAATAAGGAAGTGTGAAGTTTATTTTAGACCGTCCCAAAAAGGAAAGTGTGAAGTTTTTTAAAAACTGGAGGGAGTACTATCGTATTTGTGCAAAGACATTTACTCATTTCCGTCCATTAAAGATTGTTCATTTTCCTTTTTTTGGTTCATTCTACTAAAATTGTTCCATACCATAATTGAAGTTTGTGTGACTCAAAATAATTCTTACTTTATTCTTACTTAATCAATTCAATGTCAATCCCGGAAATCATTTTTATTGGTTTGTGTGTCACTTCCTCTTGTCTCATTAATTGTTAGTGGAACCGAGGGAACACCATCTATGACAACACTCAACATATAATTCGGTATATCAACAAATAGTTCTATGTGAGCGATCAAAAGTGTACCTAAAATGCACTTCTTCCATATTGAAATGTTTGTTACACTTTTCTTTTGGGATTTATATCAATTTATGCTAAACTTTTTTTCATTTTGGATAAGTTTTCTGTAAAAAATGTTCACTCATACTAACCTTTTTAACCTTTTATCTTTTCTTTCGTATTCTTCCACCATTTTTGCTAATTTTTCTACACCATTGATTATCTCTATTATCTAGCTTAAACTAGGGATGGCAATGGGGCGGGTTTGGGGCGGGGTACACTCCCCCATCCCCACCTCATGTCTAAAAAGTCCCCCCATCCCCGCCCCATCCCCCGTTACTCCCAGACCCGCCCCATCCCCGCCCCACCTCATTGTCCCCCACGGGTGCCCACGGGTGCTCTCATATAAATTTAATTTATCGTATTTGCATATACTTTTTTTGCAAGATTTGCATATACTTTTTTTTTTGCAAGATTTGCATATACTTTTAATCTCTTATTATAAATATATGTAGTGCGATTCCAATGAAAACGATGCTTAACGTTGGAACACTCACATTTAATCCAATGTGATACACAATAATCCAATGTGATACACAATAGAGCCATTCTAGTGCACATTTGGACTTCGCTCAATACAAGCCAATATAAATAATCACGGTGACACTTTTGTAAATATTATGCTAGATACAAAAAAGTGCATTGTGCGAGCCCATTGTGCTTCACATTGGGGGTAAATGTGGTGTTCGCACATTCTCATGTTAAACGTTGTTCTCATTTGATCCTAAGCCTATATATATCTACGCGCACATAGTGATATATGATACACACACACCACACACGCAACACTGAAGTATTGTGTTCGTTAAAAGTTAATACCACCAATTTTAATAATTCTTTAATTTGAATAAGTTTTGTGAATTGAAGACAAATAAAGTAAAAATATAAGTAAACATATTATCATCATGTACGTTGTTTCAAAATTCTCAATAATTATAATACAATTAATTACATATTATATTACATATAAATGTTTGTGTATTTATTTACTCAATTCCTCACTCTTAAAACTCATATACGGAGTAACATTTATGATAAATATTTTTAATCATCACTAGCTTATTATTATTCTAGTATAATATAGTATGTATTAATTCATTAACCATGATTAAACCGTATACAATTATGTATGTCTATATGTATATGCGTTTGTTATATACTACAAATAATTAAATTTAGGGAAAACTATCAAATAAGCCCCCGTACTATGCCGAAAAAGTCGATTAGGCCCTCGTAATTTACAAACACTCAATTAAGTCCTCGAACTATTAAAAAACGTTCAATTAAGCCCTTTTGGTCGGTAAGTAACTGGTTTCCCGGTTAAAGGGCGACGACGGCGACGATGTGCTCGAACCCCAGCAACGGCGGCTGCCGAGAAACGGGTTATATTTAACCGGGAAACCGGTTACTTACCGACCGAAAGGGCTTAATTGAACGTTTTTAATAGTCCAAGGACTTGATTGAGTGTTTGTAAAGTACGAGGGCCTAATCGACTTTTTCGATATAGTACGGGGGCTTATTTGATAGTTTTCCCTTTAATTTAATCTGTGTGTACATGATATATATATATATGTGTATATATATGTTTGAGTATATATTTATAACGGGGATGAGGCGGGGACAGGGCGGGTGTAGCAATACCCGTCCCCGCCCCATATTTTAACGGCGTAAAAATATTTCACCCATCCCCGCCCCCACCCCTCCCCAAGCCCCGCCCCATCCTTCCCCCGCGGGACGGTTCCCCACGGGTCCCCGCCCCCATTGCCATCCTTAGCTTAAACATTGTGCCAGATTCTGAGCCCGTTTGGCAATCGTATTTTTTGGCTTATCAGGCTTATCAGCCAATTTTTTTCACCAAACACGTAAATTTTGCTTTCGTGCGCTGGATTGTATAATAAGCAGAAAAAGTAAGGTTGAAGTTACTTTTCTGGCTGTATTGGCTGAAGTTACTGTAGATGACCATTTTAACTATTTTTACATATAATTTTTTCTTTATTTTATTAATAAAATATATTTTAATTTTTTTTTCTTATATCAGCAGAATCAGCCAATGCAACCACTTCAGCCAGAACTTTATAAATTTCAGCAGAATCAGCCAAAACAGTCGATTTTCGTGCTACCAAACGAGCTCTCTATTATAACGAACATTTAAATAGTGAAAGACTACTCTCAAAAGAAAATTATTAGTGTACATGAATTGTGCACAAAGTATACACAAAAGCCCCCAATTGTTTGTGTACAAAGACAATACATTCCCTTCGTCCCGCTAAAAACTTTCTAGTTTGACCTACACACATATTAAGAAAATAAATTTGACTTTACTGTTGAGTGTAGAGTACACTGTTTGACACTGTTTGACATTGTTTGACACTGTTTTGATGTAGGATAACTTTCTATTTAGGGAAATGAGAACTTCATCTTGGAACAGCTGAAAAGGGAAAGTAGGAAAATCTTAGCGGGACGGAGGTATAATTTATGTACATATTTTGTGTACATAATTGTCATTTCCAAAATTTGTCTCCTACAAACAATTTTCTTCAAAATTTGTATTCCCACCAGGAAAATGCTAAAGGTACACAAGTTGTACACAACTTGTACACACAATGTCGGTCACAGACAATTGGTACGGAGTTGCCTGTGACCACAGACAAGAGTTGTCTGTGTACATAGACAAATTTTATATGTTTCCATAGACATTTACTTTTTTGTAAAAAGTACTTGTCAGTGTCAGACGGCTGTCAGTGTACTTTTTACAAAAAAAGTAAATGTCTATGGAAACAGATAAAATTTGTCTGTGTACACAGACAACTATTGTCTGTGGTCACAGGCAACTCCGTACCAATTGTCTGTAACCGACATTATGTGTACAAGTTGTGTACAAACTTGTGTACCCCTATCATTTTGCATTCCCCATCCTTGATATTTTTATTTTGAAAGCTAATAATCCGGTTAGAGGTCAACTATTGTCTCATGTTCCCCAAACCTCGGCTCCTTTCACACTTCACTAACCCGCTGTCAGGCCGCTCGGAAAAGCTGCTTGACACAACGCCTATATCCAACCCTACTTCCAGGACTGCTGCTAGCTGAGGTTTCTTGCCCCCCATTTATTGAAGCATTCAATTCCCTCCTCCTCCACAAGCATTCTTTTTGTTTCTTTCACACCCAAAAAACAAAAACAAAGCTTGGAGCCTTTTCGGGCCAGAAAGCACAAACAACATACTGTCCTCGACCTTCTTCCATCTTCTTCATTTTTGTAGTTAGAACACGAAAATGATATCAATTTCAGACCTTTACCATGTTCTCACGGCGGTGGTTCCCCTGTACGTGGCCATGATCCTGGCCTACGGGTCAGTGAAATGGTGGAAAATCTTCACCCCCGGCCAGTGCTCCGGCATCAACAGATTCGTCGCCCTCTTCGCCGTCCCTCTCCTTTCTTTCAAGTTCATCTCCTCCAACAACCCGTACGCCATGAACTACAGGTTCATAGCTGCTGACACTCTCCAGAAACTCATAGTCCTCTGTATTCTCCTCGTATGGTCCTGGACCAGCAAGAATGGGTCCCTGGAGTGGGCCATCACCATTTTCTCTGTCTCCACACTCCCTAACACGCTGGTTATGGGTATCCCTCTGTTGAAGGGCATGTATGGGGACTCTTCTGGGACATTAATGGTCCAAATCGTGGTTCTACAGTGCATCATCTGGTATACTCTGCTTCTTTTCCTGTTTGAGTTTAGAGGCGCCAGGTTGCTTATTGCGGAGCAGTTCCCTGACAATGCCGGCTCTATTGTCTCTTTCAAAGTGGACTCTGACGTCATCTCTCTGGACGGGAAGGAGCCATTGGAGACCCAAGCTGAGGTCGGGGAAGACGGGATGCTCCATGTGACTGTCCGGAAATCGAACAGCTCAAGATCTGAGATTTTCTCCCGGAGATCCCACGGCCACTATAACAACAACTCCGCCGGGCTTTCTTTCACACCCAGAGTTTCAAACCTCTCTAATGCCGAGATTTACTCTCTGCAATCTTCCCGGAACCCGACCCCGAGAGGGTCGAGTTTTAACCATACGGATTTTTACTCTATGGTTAATGGGAAGAATGCGAATCTTAGTCCGCGGCGGTCTAACTCTGGGTTCGATGAGGAGAGCGGGGCAGGGAAAGGGAATGCGGGGTTCCCTGCTCCGGCTTCCACCGGAATATTCTCTCCGATGACCGGGAACGCGGGGACGAAGAAGAAAGCCGACGGTGCTGGGAAAGATCTTCATATGTTTGTTTGGAGCTCAGCTGGTTCTCCAGTTTCTGGACATGACATCCCCGTTGGTCCTAATCTTAAAGGTATAAAAAGTTATGAATATTTGCTTTATATTTAGTCCTATATATGGGGCAATTTACTTTTTAATGGGGCAATTACTTTTAATATATGTTCATATTTAAGAATTTCTCCTCTCTTTTAGTCCTATATGGGGCAATTACTTTTTAATATAATACTATTTCCATTTCCGTAGTGGTTTAATACGAGTAAAAAAAGTGACATTATAGCCGTTAGTTTTATAAGAAATAAGTGCAAAGAGGAGTAAGACATTTAAAATACTGTATAAAAATACATAAAACATTCAAAAGGTAGAAAACAACCAAGATTTGTGCACTTTGTAAGTTTGTAAATGTTTCTCAGCTATTAAAGGAATTTTTTCTAGTCTTTTAATAGGCTTGCTTTGACCTCAGGACTATAAATCTTTTTTGAATGGTAATAATGCTTAAAAAGGAAACTTCTAAAAGTACAAATAAATTTACAAAAAATTAAATCCATTAAGTCATTGGTTCATCTTACTGGCCTTCATTTTTCTTTCTTCATTGTGGTGTGTATAACATAACTCAATTAGGTTAGCTCTGATATCATACACATTAGTCAAATTTCATAGTTTTATATAGTAATTTAATAGTTAGCGTTTTAATAGTTAATTTTCACAGTTTGAACAATTTTTTATTAATGTGTAAAAATATATGATGCTGTCATGTGCCTCTTCATCTGTGTTTAAAACCTACTACCTATATTTCTCTCATATGTGTCTTCTTTAATATTGTTTGTATGTGCACTTGAACTTCTAGCACAAGTCTTGCAAAAGTCTTAATTGGTCCTATATGTGTATACTATAGAGTCGTATGGGCTTACGTGGCTTCACTATGACCTCTCGTTTTCATAGTGGGGCCATTGTTACTACACTGCAAAACAAGTGGATATGGTGAATTACAAGTGTACACAACTCTATGATGGATTCACATAGGACTGTAAAAACTTACAGAAACAATGAGGCTAAATAAGTAGAAAGTATGGAGTATAAATGATTCTGTAGAGGTAATGAGTATTCATAATTATTATGCCTATAATAGTGTTATCAATTTATGAATATCTTGGTTTTGTTAATTGTGTAGATTATGAGGAATTTGGGCAAAATGGAAATGAGCATGAAGGGCCTGTGCTGTCAAAGATTGGGTCAAGCTCAACTACAGAGCTAAACTCAAAGGTTGTACCAGAGACCAAGCCTACAGCCATGCCTCCTGCCAGTGTCCTGACCAAACTCATTCTCATTATGGTTTGGCGGAAGCTTATTAGGAATCCTAATACTTACTCCAGCCTCATTGGCATCATCTGGTCTTTGATTGCTTGCAAGTATGAAATGCTAATAAACTGGACATCCATTTTCAATTCACACCACTTTTGTGTTTGGTTAATAAATCTCATTATTGTTTTGGGATAAACTAATGCATTTGCAGGTGGAATGTACACATGCCTGAAATAGTGAAGCAGTCAATAGCTATTCTATCGAACGCTGGTCTTGGAATGGCAATGTTTAGTCTTGGTATGTGCATAAATTTTATCCTACTATCTTCAATGCTTGCTATGCTGTTGTTCAATTTTAAATTGCAATTAGTATGAGCAATGGTCGTTTGTTTGCCATGCAATAATAATTTTATCCATGAATTTATTTTAATGATATGTCTTATTGTAGAAGGCCCCCAAAAAATCCGAGTTGAAAAATCAACTTCATTTTTAAGTATTTGTTTTGTAAAGTTAAATGATACACGGGTTTAGTCAATTACACGAAGTTGGACATAAGTTTTAGGCTAAAGATTGGTGTTCATTCATAAACTTGCAGAAGCTTAAAAATTGTTTCTTGGTCTGTCATGTGTTCATAGTTCTACAATGTAGTCCCTCGACTCCCTCTGTCATTCTTATTTAATTCAGTATTTAAAAAGAATTCAATGAAGTCCTTTTAGGCCTAACAGCACAGTCAAGAAATCATGGATATAATCTTTTGTCATCTCAAAGATGATTTTAGCACTAGGTGGCGATGGACTGAAATTACAACCTGTTAAATGGTTGCTTGACTAGATTGTATAGATTCAAGTGGGGACAAAAGAGTGATTTTGCCAAGTAAGATTTATCGTCAGATATAATAGTGATGTTTGCATGCAGGGTTGTTCATGGCATTGCAGCCAAAAATGATTGCTTGTGGGAAAACAGTGGCTAGCTTCTCCATGGCTGTAAGGTTCGTATTTGGACCGGCGGTAATGGCTGCTTCATCCTTTGCAGTTGGCCTAAGGGGTGTCCTTCTCCACATTGCAATTGTTCAGGTACCAAACAGACCTTATTTAACTAATTCAAGATTTAAGTTATTCCTAATTGAGCGATAATGGGATTTTAACTTTTATTCTTTGTCTGAATTTTCAGGCATCTCTTCCCCAAGGAATTGTTCCCTTTGTCTTTGCTAAGGAGTATAATGTCCATCCTGATATCCTGAGCACTGGGTAAGCCTTTCATTCCGCTATACTCTCCGGAACAAGTGTATGGGGAACCTATTCTAGTTCTAAATATTTTCTCACTCGAGCTCGAGTTCAAAATGCGTTTGATAATGTAGGTTTGATAATGTAGGTTCATTGTCGTTCTATTGGCTTGACAAATAAATGTATCCACACATACACATATATGTACGTGAATATGTACATGTACATGTACATATATACATACATGTGTGTGTGTTTGTGGAGAGTGAGATTTTGATTCAAATAAAAACAATTCCATTACAAAAAGTGAAGTTATTGAAGTAGTTTCTTTTAATGTAGCAATGGGTAGATCAAATTAAAATCTATGGCAGTTTAAATAATTAGTTGGCTACAATTTGGTATCTTAAAGTCCACCATTATTATATGCAATTAACATGTCTATGATTCTTTATGTTTTTTTAAATCAATATATAGTGATTTAAATAATTAATTGAGCTCATGTGCTTGTGTGTACATATATGAGGTGCTTGTGAGCCTCATTTGTACATGTATGTGTACATGCATGTAAAATGAGGATGCCCAAGTAATCCATAATAATGCAAAATTAGAATTCATAATCAATATTATGTCATAATTAGTATTATGTGCAAAAAGAGTCATGACTATAAAAATGAGAATGCATAAGTTGTTCATGAATTTGTAAGATTAGGATGTGATTAAAACTTCTGCATTTTAGCTACCACTTAGTTACAATTTGATGATGTAAATCTATCCCCATTTTGGTGTGTACCCATTATTTTTTTCACCTAATCCTTGAGCCCGTTTGGTGATCTCATTTTTCCGTTTAACGGCCTTATCAGTTATTTTTTTCACCAAATACGTAACTGATTTTGCGCGCTAAATTGTGTAATAATAATAAAATAATTAGGTTTGTAGTATCTTTTCAGGCTGAATTGACTGAAATTACTGTAGAAGACCATTTTATCTATTTTTGATTTAATTTTTTCTCTATTTTATTACCGAGTAATAAAATACGGAGTACAGAGTATATTTTAAATATAACTTTTCATAAATCAACGGATTCGCCCAATTTCAATCAGAACTTTGTAAGTTTTAGTAGAATAAGCCTATTCGGCCAATTTTAGTGTCACCAAATTGGGCTCTATAATACTTTTGAACCAAACCATAGACTTATGCATAACTCCCAAGTCAGGCTTGAGCTTAGAGTTGGAATTTGATTGAAATCTAGTTTGACCAAACTGTTCAGAAACGCCCCATTAGCTTCTCTCTGAATACACAAATTTTGGAAATAGTGTTTCTCACAAGTTCATTGCATTTAAGTGTCCGCCACCGAGCATCCGGACCAACAAGATTTAGAAAGTGAGACAGAATATAATGATTCTTGTCCCACCTAAGAAGCTATTATTGCATTCCATAGTGGAACACAACCTGACAGTGGTTTGATTGTTTATTTGTAATCTTCCTTCAAATTTTGCAGGGTAATATTCGGGATGCTGATAGCTCTGCCCATCACACTTGTCTACTACATCTTGTTGGGCCTTTGAAGATGATGATGGTGAAGAAAAAGCTTCTAATTTAAAAAGATTTTTTTGGGTCTTGGAAGAATTATTATATTTATGCATGCGAGAAGAAAAAGGTGGAAAGAGTAGTAAGTAGGTAGACAAGACATCTTCTAAATAGAGCAGTTGTAGAGGGATTTTAAAAAAAGGTGGAAGAATGATCATTGGGCATGCAGCCAGCTAGTAGAATATTTTGTTGCTTTTTCTCTTTCTCCTGTGCCATCTGTTGTTTTGGTGAACAAAAAAAAAGTGAAGGTTGTATCTAGTACAGCTTTTCAGATGCCATTGTCTTCCTGTCCAAAAAGATTGAGCCCTCAAAAAACAGAATCTCTATGAACATAAAAAGTTGACCACTTGGTTCAATGCACTATGCTCCCTTACACAAATCAGGTTTAATGTATTATGATTTATGAGTAATAGATGTGCTTTTATTTGGTGTGGGTATATCTGGTGTTAAGTTATACTCATGGCCCTTTTTCATATTGAAGAATACAAGAATATAATAGAGAAATTATAGATTGATGAAGATTGTGAAAAAAGTGAAGATTTGAAAGTGAAGAAAAATGAGATGTATATTGTATAGTATAGTTAGGATTTTTTTTTAACACCCCAGTGTCGGTCCTGACTTTGGAATAGGATTTCTGGAATTGGTTTAGTCCTATACATAGATTGGCCGGTCTCGGTTTAGACCAATATGAGGAGCAGACAGGTCCCAGTTCACACCATTCCCGATCCCGGTTTAGACTTTAGACCAATAGAGGAACCGACCGGTCACAATTCAATCATGATTTTAGTTCTATGAAGGTATTTGTGCTTTTTACATATAAGTAGACAAGTTAAGAATTTGTACTTGTGTAAAATTAATTATGAGTATATTTTAGTGTCATGGTCACTTAAGTATAAATACAAATATTATTGAATTAAAATTTGTTTATAAAAATATAACTAATACTGTAGTAGTTATTACTTATTAGTACTTAGTTATCATTGTAATCACTATACATATAATCACTCATGAGATCACATTTTTGTAAATAATTTGTATTTTAATCTAATATGGAGTACTTCAACGAGAATGGGAGCTCGTTGTGTGGGAGCTCACATCATATTGTGGGCATCTAACATGAGTTTGCGTTATTTAAGGATTATATCATGGACTTAGATTTTCTTTAATACTCCGTATAAATTATACTTCTTAAAATCAATATATATATATATATATATATATATATATATATATATATATATATATATACTTCTTAAAATCAATATATATATATATATATATATATATATAACTTTTTATACCTTTTATTTTTTATTACATTCTATTTTTTATTGCATATTAATACGGAAACAAAAGAGATAGAATCCACCTTATTTGGTAGCTTTTTGAGAACTTATTACGGAGTATTTATTAATTTGGATAGTTATTCGTTCAAAAAAATTTGGATAGTTATTAAATTCAGAAATTGGAACCACATCAATTAATAACCATTCGTACACATGGGCTATTAATATTGGATATTTTATACTACGTATTAATAGCCATTCGAAAACAATAGAGATAGATTCCACCTTATTTGGATATTTTATACTCCGTACTACGTATCAATTATTTAATTATTTTTATACATTTTATTTTTTATTAAATTCTATTGAAGAAATAAATATTCGTGTTTTGCCCACCTAACAGATAAACCAAGCAAATTCCTATTAATATTGTTCTTCAAAGTTATTTTATACACTTGGTCTAATATAAAGTCGTTTGATAATACTAAGTTTAGTATTTTATTTTTGTAAAATAACTTTTTTACATTGACTAATGATCCATTTTTACTAATGAGTAAAATGTTAAAATTTTAAAATACTTATTTTGTACCATGTTGAATGAGAAATATTAAAAAACAGTGTTTTGAGCTTAATAAAGTAATTTAAAGTATGTGAGATAAATTAAGAAATTTTTGTGTGAATTCTTTAAAATCGGGTTCATAACAACTATGTTTAATTAGTTGGGATGCTTATGTAGAAGTCCATTTAAAAAAATCATATAACTTTTATTTTATCTTATCAATGATATATGTAGTGTATATTATTTTATTTTTTCATAATTCGGGAGATTCAGTCTAATCAGTTAGATTTAATTCATTATAGTAGAATCAGACGATTCAACTATTTTTTGCATCACATTAAGAACCTGTTTGCTAACATCAAAATCGGCTGAATCGGCTGAATCGGCTGATTCACTGAAATTTATGAAGTTCTGACTGAAGTGGTTGCATTGACTGAATTTGCTGATTTATGTAAAAATTATATTTAAAATATATTTTATTAATTAAATAAAGAAAAAAAATATATGATAAATAGATGGTCCTCTATAGTAACTTTAGCCAGTACATTCAGAAAAGTAACTCTAACCCTACGTTTTTTTATTACACAATTCAACGCGTGAAATCAAAAATTACGTGTTTGATGAAAAATTGGCTGATAAACCTGATAATCCAAAAAATGTGGTTACCAAATGAGCTCTAATTAGTACGTATATGATTTTGAAAAAAATCAATTTTACAATTAGCTAAATTGTGTACTGCCTGTGCATCGCACGGGCTTGAAAAGTAGTATTTAATATTAATAAAATTATGTATAGTCATTATAAACACAATAATGAGGCTTGTAAGTTATTCATCTTCATTTTCAAACAAAAAGTTATTCATCTTCAAATTATAGAATTCACGCCAAATAGAAATACATAGAAAATTGTAAAAAATCTACACATGAATACACGATTTAAGTTGCAAATACAAAAAAAAATCTAAAAAATCAAACACATGAATTCTCGATTTAAGTTGCAAAAAAAGAGTATTAAAACTCGAGGTTCCATCTTAATAAGAAGAGTAGCACAAAACCTTATATAGTGTATTATTGTTTTATATCTTTTCGGTATAGGACAAATACTTTAACACGTCCTCTCAAGCTCTCAACCCGAACCGGGATGAACAATATTGGAATGTATAAATAGGCAAAACAGACCGTAAAGACACTCTATTATTGATACTAGTCACATCCGTATATAAAGTACAAGAGTTAGTGTCTAGGTGTAACTCATGTGCAAATAGGATTACACAACAGATATACACGCGAAGGGCTAATAAGATATACATGAATAAAGTAATTAATAATAATATACAAATTAATGTTAATATAACTAGCGTAAATCCTTGACACGTCCCCGCAAGATTGAGGATCCATCGAAGACTCTTATATCTTGCACCGAAGATAAAGAAAAGCAATCCGGCCCAAAGGTTTGGTAAGAGCATCTGAACGTTGAGCTTTGGATGACACAACTGATAAGGTCCAATCCATGACTAAGTCACGAACAAAAAAATAGTCCAATGAAAGATGCTTCATACGAGAATGAACTATCGGATTTTTACACACATAAGTGGCACTCAAGCTATTAGTGAATAGTCGTGGTGGTGCAGAGGAGCTGATGGCCAACAAGGCCAGTAAGTTTTGAACCCATAAAAGTTCAGTTGTGGCATTGGCAATACCCTATACTTAGCCTCGGTAGATGCCCTGGACACAGATTTTTGAAGGGCAAATTTCCAAGAGATAACATTGGAACCCAAATACAGAAAGAAGGGAGTTTAGGCAAGGTGAGTGACTCTGGTGATCTGAATTACTGGGGAAGGTATGATTTCTAGACACTATGTGTTTAATAAAAATCTATACTAATAAATATGGGAAGATTATATTGTTCATGTTGGTTAAAGATTATAGATAATTTAATTAAAGTAAAATGACTGGTTCAATTAATTCGGGTTCTATTAATACAAATTTAATATCAAAATTAATACAGACCTTTCGCTTAATAATAATTGATCTAAATATAATCCTACCCTCGTTAAGCGTCTTGAAGTCAACGTTCCACCCCAGTCAGCATTCGTAAAGGCCATGAGATTCAGCGCAAAACCCACGCGTAAGAGAAGGCCATGGCACATAGTACCTTTGAGATCTCTTAAAACACGCTTAGCAGCAAGCTAATGAGCAGCTACAGGACCATTGCATAAATGGAGACAATTTATTTACTATGAAAGAAATGTCTGGACGAATGAGCACAAGATATTGTAAAAGACCAAGTAACTGGCTATAGTTCGAATTATCAATTGAATGAGATGGGTCATCAAGCGGAAGACGTTCATTAAGAGCCATAGGCGTAGAGACAGGTTAAGCACCATCTATACTAAATTTGTTTAAGATATCGGAAATGTACAGAGCTTGAGACGGGAGCATACTCGATGGTGTAGTGATGACCTCAATATCTAGGAAATGATGTAACAAGCCCAAGTCAATTAAGGAAAACCGGCTAGAAAGCATTGTAACAAATTGATCTATAACAGTGACATTATTCCTTGTGAGAACAATATAATTAATACAGACAAGAAAATACATGGTAACACTGCGAGAGGTAGAGATACATAAGGATGGATCGGATTTGGATTTACGGAAACCATATTAGTGAGGAAAGCATAAAGTTCAAGATACCAAGCTCGAGGAACCTGTTTCAGGCCATATAGAGCTTTCCGGAGATGGTACACATGAGTAGGATGATGAGGATCAACATAGCCCGACGGTTGATTGAGATACACAACTTCATGAAGAGTCCCATTAAGAAATGCATTATTTATATCAAGTTGCTAGTTGCCAAACTGACCAGCCTTGTTGTAATGCTAAGGAGAGAATAACACGTGTTGTAACTGGTTTCATGTCGGGAATGAATGTCTCAGAGTAATCACGACCTGCTTCTTGAGAATAGCCTTTTGCCACAAGTCGATCGGGCCTTGTAGTGATCGATAGATCCATCAAGTTTTAGTTTGATACAAAATATCCATTTGCACCCAATGGTAGGTTAACTAGTGTTAATGCTGAGAACTCCTCATTCAAAGCAATTCTTCAGAGAGGATCCTTGAGAGCCTGAGATACCGTCCGAGGCTCCAAAGTGGAAATGGGAGAATGAACAGTAGCTGTATTAAAAAAGAAGGACCATAATACTTAAGGTTGGGATGTTTGGTGCGAGTAGGGCTTGACAATGGAATAGACGAAATGGTTGACAGAGACAGAGAAACAGAAGTTGATGAAGAAGGTTATAAACTCGATGCATGAGATGCATGGGAGATAGGTGATGTGAAAATTGGAAAATTGGGTGGACTAGGAGAAATATGATTGAGTGGAGAATGCGTGGGGGTGAAGGGATTAATTATAAGAAGAGATACTAAAGGGATGCGTGTAATGTTTGGGCTATTGGAGGTTAAGCTCGAGATATAGGGGGAAGGGAAAAATTGGTTAAGGGAGAATAAATGGGAGAGGAATGGGTCTGGCCAGAATTAGGTGGTATGAATAGTAAGGATGACGGCTGGGTGAGGATTTTGTGGACAATTATGG